TGCCGTCGAATTTGCCCGCCACGTTGAGAAACAGCAGCGGTTGTCCTTTGTGAGAGCGACAAAGCTCTATGTGGGTGGATCCCCAGACTGCAATCACAGCCTCCGCTGTCTTGGAGTTACTCGTCTTTGTGCCGTCGACCAGATGTACACTTGCCACTGGAGGGTGGCCAGCGGGAGTGCGGGTTTCTGAAACAGAATGAACCACAGCCATGACATCGAAGCAACGCAGCGATTTGATGTTCATCATGTCTGCCACTGTAGTCGCTGGAGCCGGCGCCGATGCCAAGGAGGTCTCCTCCGGAGAGCTTTTGAGCACTGGAGTGCAGGTTGCGCGCTTGAGGTCGACCACGACACGAACAGACGTATGCACAAAAGCGTCCTGCTGCCGACTGTCCAGGCCGACGCTGGAGAGTTTCCACGCCGTCATCGGAGGGAACTTTTTCAGAGCAGCTTGGACTTCTGCTGGAGTACCTTTGAGGATGGCCTCACAATAGTGCTCTGAGTCTGTGCCAAGCAGAATGCATGTGAATCGGTTTGCATGGACTAGCTGGCCATTGTTCCTGCTCTTGTACGAGTACTTGATCTCCCTGGGCTTGTATACTCGGACAAGGAAGTCTTGGGTTTTGGCGCTGCACTTCGTGAGAAAACCCAGTGGAGACGTCGGCTGTTCTGCAGCAGCAGCCATGGTAGCTCACCCGGAGGATCACCGTGGAGCGCACAGTGACACAGGCTGAGAAGCACCGTGCACGGCACGGTGAGACTGGTTGAGCGGATGCGGACAAGGCTCGCTTTTGCCTCGAACTCCTGCAATCAAAGTTCTTTGAACCAGAACGGCAATGGTTACAGAATTGCAAAGTTACAAGTGATGCCTCCACGAAGCACCCCCCCTGTGGAGTCGAGAAAGCGTGTTGCTGTATGTGTGCGTGACTCGATGGATGTGATGTGTGTGCTGCGTGGCCCCGCCCCAAGAAATGTTTCGGCCTCTCAAGGCCCCCCCCGCTCCACGAATCCCATTGGGGGTTCGAGATCCCCGCTCTGGTGGGCGGAGACGCCAATGGCTTCGAAAACCGCTAGGGAGGGAAGGATAAGGGAGAAGAAAAGGACGGAGAGGGAGGGCTCGGAGGCCCTTGGAGGGGGGATGTGCCCATCCGAAGGAACGGTGCACCCCCCCCTCCCCGTCGTGAAATCGAGGCACCAGCCGTGGCAACGACCCCCCCCCTATCCCCCTCCGCGACCTGAGTAGACCACCCAGGCCAGCGGAGGACGTCATAGGGGGCGGGGGTTCTGACTTCGATGAAAGAAGAGAAGGAAAGAGGGGGGAGGATCAGGCAGACGAAAGCCCTTTTAGGCTTTCCCCGGCGTGTGGAAATGCCCTCTTTGGCTTTTGCGGGGACTAACCCGCGCGGTCGCCCGCAGGCGACAGGGCGCCCAGGCCCTCTCCGCGCGCGCAGGCGCGTGGCAAACTACATGCGCACGATCGTCCGTGGAATCGAATGGAACCGTCCGCGGCGAGTCGTCCGCGGCGACTCAGGACCACGCCGCCCTGGAAGAAGAGGCGCTACAAGGATACATTCTGTGACGCTGGAGATCCTGATGCGACGAGGACGCTGCAGAGAAACATTCTGCGCGCGTACGCACGACCTGGAACGACAAGCACAATACTGGAACAAATTCGGTGACGCTGGACTCCCCGATGGGACGAAGAAGCAGCAGAGACACGTCTCAAGGCGCGGCAACACCGAAGTGACGCAAACGCACCCCGCGACACGACAAGGACGCTGCAAGAAGAAACTCGGCGACGCAGGAGTGCGTGGAAGCTACAAAGGCATGGAAAGGAAGCTGCGAGGAAACTACAGAGTATTCAAAGCGTCTCGAGCTTAGGGAGCCTTCCTCAGAGCCCTTGTGCGCACGACTCGGGGCAGCCGGCCGCCCTCCCCTCCTGTTCGTCCTCCTCCTCCTGCTCGTCCTCGTCCTCCTCCTGCTCGTCTTCTTTCTCCTGCTCCTCCTCCTCCTCCTCCTCCTCCTCCTCCTCTTTCTCCTGCTCCTCCTCCTCCTCCTCCTCCTCCTCCTCCTCCTCTTTCTCTTGCTCGTCCTCGTTCTCGTCGTCCTCGTCTTGCTCGTCCTCCTCCTCCTGGTGCTCTCTCCTCCTCCTCCTCC